AATAACTAACAATTTTAAAGTAATATGCTTACTAAATTAAAGTAATATGCTTACTTAATCAAAGTCCAATAATTCTTTAGTCCAATTTAGTCTTCAGAAAGTCCAATAATTCTAATAATTCTTTTACAAAGTTACCCGATAATTTTTTTCTAAAAATTTTTTTATTCTTATAGCAAGTATAAATTATTTGTAATACACTTAAGAGCCGTTACATTATGACCACCCTCCAATGGGCTTGCCCAGGTTTTCATGGTTTCTCGCCCAGGAACAATGTTTTCATGGGGCACATTAGGACCCATAATCCTCATAGAACAATCCCTGATCGTCTGAAAGCTACTTGAACTTAGTTCACCCAATCATGGCAACAGTTTTTCCTGCGGGAGATGGTGTTTACCAACAGGATAATGCACCATGTCATAAGGGTCGAATCGTCATGGATTGGTTCGAGGAACATTTCAGTGACCTTCAAGTCATGTCTTGGCCCCCAGATTCACCTGACCTTAATCCAATAGAGCATTTGAGGTCCTACTTGGAAAACCAAATTCGTGCTGCCACGCTACCCCCTCGCAATGTGAGGGATTTGCAGCTTGGTACCAGACACCTCAGACTACCTATCAGCACCTTGTGGAATCAATGCCACGGCGGGTGCTAGCAGTTTTGAGGGCTAAAGGTGGTGGTTCTACATGTTATTAGCAGGGTGGTCATAATGTAATGGCTCTTCGGTGTATATTTTGTGGATAAAAATCAGGCATAGTGGAAAGTTTATTATAACATATATACCACCATTTACTCATGAAAAATCGATATTCATGGTTACTGATAGAAAATCGATAATCGTAGTCATAACCCGTTTCACAGAAAGGACTCATTCACACGCCTTTCGTCCATCCGCATATCGTAATTTTGACCTGAACCTGAGAACAATTTATCTCCGATTCAGTACTCCCATAGATATTGATTTGTTATAGGAACTTGGAGGACATTGTACCCTGACAGATTTAACGTGCACCAGCCGCCATTTAATGCACGGGGATTCTTCGGCCGGCTGGATTCGAACTACCGTTCTTCCTACCGACCAGGCTGTCCCTGTTCACATGACAATACAGCACCGTTTACCGATCAATGTTACATTTTGTCCATTAATGTTTCATTTATTAATAATTGTATGATGCTTATTTCAAACATAATTCTACATTGGAATGTTTTGACATGACAATACAGCACCGTTTACCGATCAATGTTACATTTTGTCCTTTAATGTTTCATTTATTAAAAATTGTATGATGCTTATTTCAAACATAATTCTAAATTGGAATGTTTTGAGTTGTGTCATTATCTTTCTACGTATGCGTTATTCTATGCATGAAATTCTATTGTTTGTCCTAAAAAATGAAGTGCACGGCATCTGATCCTACGAAGACGGAATATAATGATTTTACTTTGAATAATCAATATTTTCTATACTCGAATTGATCCCATTCCCGTTATGGCCCAGTGATTATAATTTTATTAAATCCTGTAAAAAACACAACTATTTTTTTAAAGTTTTTTTGTGTATTTTAATCCAAATTTAACGTGAATGGAAAGTATAGTTTTATTTCGAAACCACTACTGAAAAATTATGCTTTTTTTTAATAAATCTAAATGGTTGATTGATTCAACTATTTTTTCTACCATAAACTTGATCTATTAATATATCTATTTATTTTATCAATTAATTTTTATTAGTTTATTTTAATTAAAACAGTAATGTTTAATTGTTAATATTCGTTTTCTTGTGAGAAAATTTTTAATTCGTAAAGAATTTTTCATTGAAAGAAAAAAATTTCCTTTTGTTTAACCTTTAACAACGTCGTAGCAAAACGTATAACAATGATCTAAGTTGTATCCTAACTATAACTTAAACGTCTAAGTTGTACTGAATCAAAAACGTCTTCGCTAACATTTTTGTTTAACCCCTTAACGATCGGTTAATTTCCAAGTAAACGGTCATAAAAGTGCCTATTTTTTTGGCTTTTGTATTTGTATTACGTATTTGATTAGTGCTGCAACTAGTTTAAAATAAGCTAACTATCTACAGTTACCTTAAAAATATCCTGGTACTGCCATTAGGTGTGTAAAATAAGAAATAAAATGCTTTCCGGCCAAAAGAAATGAATTAGTTTTATTCTTATTGACGTGTTACTACTGAACACTCCAGCCCGTCAATATCACGTGAGCGAGAAATTGCGGGAGAAATCTCACCCCGTCATTTTCACGGGAGCAAAAAGGAAGGGGTTAACCCTTTATATCTCAACATCTCTGATTTTAATAAAAATTACTCATACATTAGAATACATCATTCTCAGCATGTAAAAAATAATAAAAAAACTTACAACATAAAATAAGAAAAATTATTGGAAAAAAATTGATTGTTGCATTTCTGCACCCTTATGCAAAATGACAAAAAGTGCTTGTTGCATTTCTGCACCCTTATGCAAAATGACAAAAAGTGCTTATTGCATTCCTGCAACATTGTGAAAAATGACACTAAGATTGAAAGATTCAAAAATTTTAATTCATATGAAAATTTTTAAAACAGTTGTTACTTTTGTTGTAACAAAGTCCTACACCACATTTCTCACAAATAGTTTGTGTAAATTCTTTGCATTTTGGGTATTTGCATCTGATTCTTTTGTTAGCCCAATTAGGCCAGTGCACAATTTCATCTTGGCGCACTGGTTTTGGCCGAAAATCGCCGAAATCGTCCTTCAAAATTTGTTGGGGCAAAGTCATAGGCTTTTTGTGTATGTTGCAGATATGCAACACGGTGATATAAAGGGTTAAGGGCTTAATTGAAGGAAAAAAAATGGTCAAAATTACAAAAATATTATGAAATTTACGGTATTTTCAAGTTCATAGGGCGCATGAAAAATACAGTATTTTTTACCATAGTGTTTATGCTAAAATTACCAATTTGAAGAATATTTTCAAAATAATAAGTCTTATAGATAAAAGTATAACGACTACCAGTTTAGAACCTCCCACTTGACGTAAAGAGTTGCGCGCTTTCCCGTTGCGCCACTAAAACGTTTTTTCTTTCTCTTGTAAACATTTTTTTTTTAATGATGGTGAATTATTTAAAAACCATTAAAGTCACCCCAAACTATTTAACAAACTACAATGAAGCGCTTTATCGTTTATAAATTGAATATTTTGTTTGATATCAGAAGTTTATGTGACACTTGGTGCCATAAGTTTCATTTCGCTGTGTGTTAAAATGAATTTATGCAGGAATTGATGTAATTTTATCGAGGATATTGAAAACTATCTTAGCAAGATTTTGACTCCTCTTACCTAATAGCATTGTAAGAAATATTTTTACGAATTTCTCTGTGTTATAGCATGAAATATTCCTGCCGATTGAGATGCATGCCTATCTTCAGATTAATAAAATCTGAAGGGGAAAAAAAATACTCAGAAATAAAGCTCTCACTTTTGGCGATTCAGCAATCCTGGACTTGTATTTCGTTAATTTTGAGAATAATTTCCTCACGAAATCACGTGATTTGTGACGAAACGCGAACTCTCAAATATTTGGCGAAAATGATTCCTCGACTCAAAACCTCATTATAGTGTGCATTGCGGGAGATTGATAACTGGAATAACGAAAATAAAATGAAGACATGGGGATAGAAAATGAAGTGACGAAGTAAGCGGACTAGAATATATGGTTGTTAAGGTGTTGACCTCGTACCAGGACGATCCGGGGGCAGAATTTTTCACTTTGGACATGGTTGTAATTTATCTCTCTGTTCTATGTGTCATTCTTGTGTTGCTGGGGCAACATTGATCTATATGGTGCTCACGATAAAGTGATTTTTTGAAAAATTGGATACTTAAAACACTAGTTTTTTTTCTTTTTTTTCGTAAAAATATTGAAATATTTCTTTAATTCTGACGAAATTCGTTTCCTCTCAGAAGTGACGAAATAGCTATTACGTCTCTTGGGCGAAAAATTCGCTTCGAGCATATACCAGGAAACAGTTTCGTCAAAAACGAAGAAGACAAGAAGAAAGTCTGGCATCCATTTTTTTAAAGTATGTGGGTATAATTCCTAGTAACCTGTTTAGTAGAAAGGGGTCAGCTTAAAAACTTAAATAAGAATAAATTTTGAAGGTGAAGAAAAGAACGATTTATGCAAAGAATCAATAGTTTTTGGTGTCAATTAGATGACTTCTGACTGTGTTCTTTTATCTCGTGCTCCATGGACATGCCCGTAAGAACGAATACCGAGGTAGTGAGAAACATGTAAAAATATTCGAAAAAGACTAATATTGAATTTTGTGTGGTCAAAGCGAACTGTTTAAATGACAATTACCTGACATCGGAATTAAAAAGGGTTGTAATAAGAGAACGTCTGCAAAAAAACATATTATATAAGTCTCAAGACCGATGCTTGACCCCGAAAAATAATATGTCACTGCGATTTAATGGTTAAATATTCGCTACTAAATTAGTTTTGATCGATTCTATTCTATTTTAGTGGATTCTATTCAAATTCTTTTACAATTTAATCGATAATACTCGTCTGGATTTAAATCCATTACATCCGTCATGGTTTTGATTATATTCGAATAATTAGAAATTATTTAGTTTCTATTAAAAATGATATTTCTATTTTTATATGATTTAACAATGTTTGATGCGATGGAATTTAATATTTTATGATTTAATACTGTCGTATTAAACATTTAATGCCTAAGCTTTAATTCAGTAATCTTTGATTTATGGAATTAAAAAAAAATAGTATGTGGATGTAATTAAAATTTGTAAACTTATGAAAGAAGACTGGTTCATCTTATTATTTAAGTCACCATTAACTTGATTCTAACTAAACTACTGATACTACTATTTCATACTAGCTGTATTCTATTTATTATTATTTTTTTTAACAATCATTATCAATCATCATATATGCTCGGAAATACCAATAACTGGATAAAAATTTCTCGTTTTAGGTCTGATACCCAAATAATTCGGAAGTAACATTTTATGAACCGTTGGCTCATCTTCTATGTTAATGATATGAAACAACGGCTCCAAAATTACCCGATCTATATAGGGCGTTATAATTCTTGGTCTACTCACCTGTTACACTGATGCAAAGCTTTCTGTGGGAAGGCAAGTAGAATTAGAGCAAGTACTAGTCAAATATTTATCAGAAGAAGAGACAGGTAATATCATGAGAACTATCGCACAGAAATATATCGAAGAAGGTGAGTTTAGAGGCATCCAAATAGGTGAATCTGAAGAGAAAATATTAGTAGCAAAAAACCTTTAGAAAGCAGGAGTGTCTATTGAAATAATCTCGCAGTCTACTGGTTTAACCAAAGAAGAAATCGAGCAACTGAAATAGAGCTGTTTGCATTTTGTTATCCTTAGCCGAGCAAAGGAAGTTTCAGATGAGATATATGAGGAGTCATTATGCCATATAACTTAAAATCTAACAATACACTTGATAGTCAAAATTTTGAAATGGATTCAGAGCTATTGTATCAGAATGACAATAAAAAAACACAAAAGAGAAAAAGAAATGTTAAAGAAAATGTAAAAGTAAAAAGATTACGACTAGATGAATCAAATTTATCATCTAGTAATTTAGATGAACTAAATAAAATGACTAAATTTCCTGAAGTTAATGATAAGGCGACTCAAAATATAAATGAAGCAAAAAATAAATTTGCCCAAAGTATAGCAACTAAGTCTCATCTTCAAGAATTTAAAAGTTTTTTAAATTCACCTGAAGGCAGCAATATGTTTAATGTTCTATATAAAAATCAAGTGTATCGTAGTATGTCTAGTATTTTAAATGGAGCAAGAGCTAAAGCTAAACAAGCCTTTGAGGAACTTTATAATCTTTGGTTTGATAAGGAGGGAAAGAAAACAAAATATTTACAAACTCTAGAAAAAAATGGAGTAAATCTATCTAATATATCTAGTATTTTAAATGGAGCTGGAGCTAAAGCTAAACAAGCTTCTGAGGAACTTTATAATCTTTGGTTTGATAAGGAGGGAGAGAAAACAAAATATTTACAAACTCTAGAAAAAAATGAAGTAAATCTACCTAATATATCTGGTATTTTAAGTGGAACAGGATATAAAGCTAATCAAACTTTTGAGGAGCTTTACAATCTTTGGTTTGATGAGCATGGAGAGAAAACAAAATATTTACGAACCCTAGAAAAAAATGGAGTAAATCTATCTAGTATCTCTAACATTTTAGGTAAAGCAGGAGCTAAAGCTAAACAAGCTTTTGAGGAGCTTTATAATCTTTGGTTTGATAATGAAAGAAATCCAACTAAATATTTACAAACTCTAGAAAAAAATGGAGTAAATTTATCTAGTATCTCTAGTATTTTAAGTGGATCAGGAGCTAAAGCTAAACAAGCTTTTGAGGAGCTTTATAATCTTTGGTTTGATAATGAAGGAAATCCAACTACATATTTACAAACTCTAGAAAAAAATGAAGTAAATCTATCTAATATATCTGGCGTTTTACATGGAACAGGAGCTAAAGCTAAACAAGCCTTTGAGGAGCTTTATAAGCTTTGGTTTGATAATAATGGAGAGAAAACAAAATATCTACGAACTCTAGAAGAAAACAAAGTAAATCTATCTAGTATATCTAGTATTTTACATGGAACAGGGGCTAAAGCTAAACAAACTTTTGAGGAGCTTTATAAGCTTTGGTTTGATAATAATGGAGAGAAAACAAAATATCTACGAACTCTAGAAAAAAATGGAGTAAATTTATCTAATATATCTAGTATTTTAAGTGGAGTAGGAGCTAAAGCTAAACAAGCTTTTGAGGAGCTTTATAAGCTTTGGTTTGATAATAATGGAGAGAAAACAAAATATCTACGAACTCTAGAAAAAAATGGAGTAAATCTACCTAATATATCTAGTATTTTACATGGAACAGGAGCTAAAGCTAAACAAGCCTTTGAGGAGCTTTATAAGCTTTGGTTTGATAATAATGGAGAGAAAACAAAATATCTACGAACTCTAGAAAAAAATGGAGTAAATTTATCTAGTATCTCTAGTATTTTAAGTGGAGTAGGAGCTAAAGCTAAACAAACTTTTGAGGAGCTTTACAAGCTTTGGTTTGATAATGAAGGAAATCCAACTAAATATTTACAAGCTTTAGAAAAAAATGGAGTACATCTATCTAATGTATCTGGTATTTTAGGAGGAGCAGGAGCAAAAGCTAAACAAGCCTTTGAGGAGCTTTATAAGCTTTGGTTTGATAATGAAGGAAATCCAACTAAATATTTACAAGATTTAGAAAAAAATGGAGTACATCTATCTAATGTATCTGGTATTTTGGGAGCAGCAGGAGCAAAAGCTAAACAAGCCTTTGAAGAGCTTTATAAGCTTTGGTTTGATAATGAAGGAAATCCAACTAAATATTTACAAACTCTAGAAGAAAACGGAGTAAATCTATCTAATGTATCTGGTATTTTAGGAGGAGTAGGAGCAAAAGCTAAACAAACTTTTGAGGAGCTTTATAAGCTTTGGTTTGATGAGCATGGAGAGAAAACAAAATATTTACGAACTCTAGAAAAAAATGGAGTAAATCTATCTAATATATCTAGTATTTTAAATGGAGCAGGAGCAAAAGCTAAACAAGCCTTTAAGGAGCTTTATAAGCTTTGGTTTGATAATGAAGGAAATCCAACTAAATATTTACAAACTCTAGAAGAAAAGGGAGTAAATCTATCTAATGTATCTAGTATTTTACATGGAGTAGGAGCTAAAGCTAAACAAGCTTTTGAGGAGCTTTATAAGCTTTGGTTTGATAATGAAGGAAATCCAACTAAATATTTACAAACTCTAGAAAAAAATAAAGTAAATCTATCTAATATATCTGACGTTTTACATGGAACAGGAGCTAAAGCTAAACAAGCCTTTGAGGAGCTTTATAAGCTTTGGTTTGATAATGAAGGAAATCCAACTAAATATTTACAAACTCTAGAAGAAAATGGAGTAAATTTATCTAGTATCTCTAGTATTTTAAGTGGAGCAGGAGCTAAAGCTAAACAAGCTTTTGAGGAGCTTTATACGCTTTGGTTTGATAATGAAGGAAATCCTACTAAATATTTACAAACTCTAGAAAAAAATAAAGTAAATCTATCTAATATATCTGGCGTTTTACATGGAACAGGAGCTAAAGCTAAACAAGCCTTTGAGGAGCTTTTCAAGCTTTGGTTTGATAATGAAGGAAATCCAACTAAATATTTACAAACTTTAGAAAAAAACAAAGTCGATCTATCTTGTATCTCTAGTATTTTAGGAGGAGCAGGAGCTAAAGCTAAACAAGCATTTAAAGAGATTTACAAGCTTTGGTTTGATAATGAAGGAAATCCAACTAAATATTTACAAACTTTAGAAAAAAACAAAGTCGATCTATCTAGTATCTCTAGTATTTTGGGAGGAGCAGGAGCTAAAGCTAAACAAACTTTTAAGGAGCTTTACAAGCTTTGGTTTGATAAGAAAGGAAATCCAACTAAATATTTACAAGCTCTAGATGACAATGGAATAAGTCTATCTAATGTATCTAGTATTTTACATAGAGCAGGAGCTAAAGCTAAACAAACTTTTGAGGAGCTTTACAAGCTTTGGTTTGATAAGAAAGGAAATCCAACTAAATATTTACAAACTCTAGAAAAAAATAAAGTCGATCTATCTAATATATCTTGCATTTTAAATGGAGCAGGAGCTAAAGCTAAACTAGCTTTTGAAGATTTATATAAGCTTTGGTTTGATAAGAAGGGAGAAAAAACTAAATATTTACAAACTTTAGAAAAAAACAAAGTCGATCTATCTAGTATCTTTAGTATTTTAGGAGGAGCAGGAGCTAAAGCTAAACAAACTTTTGAGGAGCTTTACAAGCTTTGGTTTGATAATGAAGGAAATCCAACTAAATATTTACAAACTCTAGAAGAAAATGGAGTATACATATCTAATGTATCTAGTATTTTAAGTAGAGTGGGAATCAAAGCTAAGCAAGCTTTTAAGGATCTTTATAATCTTTGGTTTGATGAGAATGGAAAGCCAACACAATATTTAAAAGATTTCACTGAAGTAGGTTTTAAGATGAGTAATTTATCTGCTATTGTAGGAGGAGTAGGAACCAAAGCTCATTCTGCTTTAAAAGATTTTCATACAGTTTGCTTTGATAGTAAAGGAAATCCAACAAAATATTTAACGAATTTCACTAAAGCAGGTTTTAAAATAAGTAATTTAGCTTGCGGGCTCTGTGGATCAAGAACTAAAGCTGCATCTATTTTAAAAAATTTTCATGATATTTGTTTTGATGGCGAAGGAAAGAAAGCAAGATATTTAAGTGATTTTACTAAATCAAATATAGGTTTTAGGCCTAGTGATTTATGTAGTATCCTGAGTCAAGGAATAGATAGTTTAGAAGAATTTCATGATTTTTGTTTTTATAAGACAGGAAAGCCAAAAAAGTATTTACGTAATTTTATTAAGGCAGAGTTTACACCAAATCTTTTATCCAAAGTGTTACATGACGCAAGAAGTAATATTTGTTCTGCTTTAAGAGAGTTTCATAAAATTTGCTTTGATAGTAAAGGAAAGCCAACAAAATATTTAACGGATTTTACTAAAAAAGAGATAGGTTTTACGCTGGAGAATTTATCCTACATATTATCTTGGTCAGGAACTAACGCTGTTTCCATTTTACAAGATTTTCATACGCTCTGTTTCCATGAAAAAAAAGAATATTTAGATCATTTTTTAGCTGAAAAAGAACTTTTTAGTCTAGGTAAATTATCTAAAAAGTTATTAAAAGGAGCAGGACTCAAAACTTGTTCCATTTTTAAAAAATTGCATGATCTTTGTTTTGATGAGACAGGTGCAAGAACAGAATATTTAAATTCTCTTATCGAAGAATATACAAATGTAGATGATGGGACAGTAGATTTTAAGCAGGTATTCAAGCCATTAAATGAAAAATGTAAAAAACTTAGAAAAGGTGCTTCTATTGGTGGAGTAATTTATCAAGAATCTGAAGGAATGGATTTAGAATCTATTGATTATAATATTCAATTAATGATGAAAACAGGGTTAAAAATTGATAAAATTCTTGATTTACTAAATGTTAAGAAAGCGATGTGTAACAATAATCAATATTTAAGTATTTTACTAGTTAAAGGAACTAATAATGATCATGCAGTAGTTCTTTTTAAAAAGAATGATATTGTATCAATAATTGATCCACTAGGTATAAAATCAGAATTTAGCAGTAGTTTAGAAGAATTAAGGAAGGATTTTATAGCCTCAGGAAATAAATCTGTAAATATTATTTATTCTAATTTGCAACAAGTTGATTCTGGAACATGTGCTGATATATCGTTAATTCTAATTAAGAATATTTTAGATACAATACAAAGTATTCAATCAATTGAAGATATAGTAAATATTATTGAAAATATAAGAGCAGAGTATAACAATACAGAGTTAGAAGCACAAGTAAGACCTCTTGATTCAAGAATAACGTCCAAAATAGACGTTTTAACAGAACAAGAAGAACAGAATCAAAGTGTCCATTACTATAATAATGAACTCGCTTTGCAACAAGATAATATTGATGTGTATACATTAGAGTTAATAGGTGATACTTTTTTATCTGAGACTACCATATAATCAGCAATTCCAAATATGAGATGTATGGAGTAAGCGTCTAGTAAAGGTGGTCTAGAATTATTATTTATTCTAGTATAATATTCCAAGGGGAGTCTGTCATAAAGATTGTGTGTGCGTCAAGATAAGGTGCATTAATCTTACGAGTGAAAGTCCTGTTATGGAAGGAGTAGCTAGCTCCACCATATAGCGAGTCTTGTGCTGCTGAAGGTAACGACAGTAGTAAACAGCGAAACATCCGAGCCGAAACCAAATGGAGATAGCCCTGAAATGATATTGGTAGTGGAATTCGATGTGCTACACAAGACAAGAGAAAACTAGAGGTCAAACTAGCGAAAATCCGAAAGTTTTCAACCATCGGGGTCTCAGCGAGTTTGTAGAGATTAATGACACAACTTGAGAAGTCCTTATAACTCTTACTAAGTTAAGTAAGTATTCAAAGTACAAGTGCCGAAACATAAGGCTTTGGAGATGGTGTTAAGGATGGCTTAGTCAGTTGTAGTAGTGATGAAGTTTCGTAATGGGAGTGGAGCGAAGGGCTGACAGAAAGGTAAGAACGTTAGAGGGAAACAATGACCGTACACAGCATAGACGGAAATGCATGGTCAACGAAACTTGAGCGTATAAAATTGCTATCATCACAAAATCAAGACATAAAGTTTAATAATCTTGGACATATTATTGATTTAAAGATGTTAGAAGAAGCACCAGCCGCCATTTAATGCACGGGGATTCTTCGGCCGGCTGGATTCGAACTACCGTTCTCCCTACCGAACCGGCTGTCCCTGTTCACATGACAATCCAGCACCGTTTACTGATCAATGTTACATTTTGTCCATTAGTGTTTCATTTATTAAAAATTGTATGATGCTTATTTCAAACATAATTCTAAATTGGAATGTTTTGACATGACAATACAGCACCGTTTACCGATCAATGTTACATTTGGTCGATTAATGTTTCATTTATTAATAATTATATGATGCTTATTTCAAACATAATTCTAAATTGGAATGTTTTGACATGACAATACAGCACCGTTTACCGATCAATGTTACATTTTGTCCATTAATGTTTCATTTATTAATAATTGTATGATGCTTATTTCAAACATAATTCTAAATTGGAATGTTTTGAGTTGTGTCATTACCTTTCTACGTATGCGTTATTCTATGCGTGAAATTCTATTGTTTGTCCTAAAAAATAAAGTGCACGGCATCTGATCCTACGAAGACGGAATATAATGATTTTACTTTGAATAATCAATATTTTCTATACTCGAATTGATCCCATTCCCGTTATGTTCCAGTGATTATTATTTTATTAAATCCTGTAAAAAACAAAACTATTTTGTTAAAGTTTTTTTGTGTATTTTAATCCAAATATAACGTGAATGGAAAGTATAATTTTATTTCGAAACTACTACTGAAAAATATGCTTTTTTTCAATAAATCTAAATGGTAGTTTATTTTAATTAAAACAGTAATGTTTAATTGTTAATATTCGTTTTCTTGTGAGAAAAGTTTTAATTCGTAAAGAATTTTTCATTGAAAGAAAAAAATTTCCTTTTCTTTAACCTGTAACAACGTTGTAGCAAAGCGTATAACAATGATCTAAGTTGTATTCAAACTATAACTTAAACGTCTAAGTTGTACTGAATCAAAAACGTCTTCGCTAACATTTTTGTTTAACCCCTTAACGATCGATTAATTTCCAAGTAAACGGTCATAAAAGTGCCTATTTTTTTGGCTTTTGTATTTGTATTACGTATTTGATTAGTGCTGCAACTAGTTTAAAATAAGCTAACTATCTACAGTTACCTTAAAAATATCCTGGTACTGCCATTAGGTATGTAAAATGAGAAATAAAATGTTTTCCGGCCAAAAGAAATGAATTAGTTTTATTCTTATTGACGTGTTACTACTGAACACTCCAGCCCGTCAATATCACGAGAGCGAGAAATAGCGGGAGAAATCTCACCCCGTCATTTTCACGGGAGCAATAAGGAAGGGGTTAACTCTTTATATCTCAACATCTCTGATTTTAATAAAAATTACTCATACATTAGAATACATCATTCTAAGCATGTAAAAAATAATAAAAGAATTTACAACATAAAATAAGAAAAATTATTGGGAAAAAATTGATTGTTGCATTTCTGCACCCTTATGCAAAATGACAAAAAGTGCTTGTTGCATTCCTGCAACATTGTGAAAAATGGCACTAAGATTGAAAGATTCAAAAATTTTAATTCATATGAAATTTTTTAAAACAGTTGTTACTTTTGTTGTAACAAAGTCCTACACCACATTTCTCACAAATAGTTTGTGTAAATNTCTTATTGACGTGTTACTACTAAACACTCCAGCCCGTCAATATCACGGGAGCGAGAAATAGCGGGAGAAATCTCACCCCGTCATTTTCACGGGAGCAAGAAGGAAGGGGTTAACCCTTTATATCTCAACATCTCTGATTTTAATAAAAATTACTCATACATTAGAATGCATCATTCTAAGCGTACAAAAAATAATAAAAAAATTTACAACATAAAATAAGAAAAATTATTGGGAAAAAAATTGATTGTTGCATTTCTGCACCCTTATGCAAAATGACAAAAAGTGCTTGTTGCATTCCTGCAACATTGTGAAAAATGACACTAAGATTGAAAGATTCAAAAATTTTAATTCATATGAAAATTTTTAAAACAGTTGTTACTTTTGTTGTAACAAAGTCCTACACCACATTTCTCACAAATAGTTTGTGTAAATTCTATGCATTTTGGGTATTTGCATCTGATTCTTTTGTTAGGCCAGTGCCCAATTGCCCAATTTCATCTTGGCGCACTGGTTTAGGCCGAAAATCGCCGAAATTGTCCTTCAAAATTTGTTGGGCCAAAGGCATAGGCTTTTTGTGTATGTTGTTGATATGCAACACGGATATATAAAGGGTTAAGGGCTTAATTGAAAGAAAAAAAATATGGTCAAAATTACAACAATATGATGAAATCTACGGTGTTCTCAAGTTCATTAGGGCGCATGAAAAATACAATATTTTTTACCATAGTGTTTATGCTAAAATTACCAATTTGAAGAATATTTTCAAAATAATAAGTCTTATAGATAAAGTATAACGACTACCAGTTTAGAATCTCCCACTGGACGAAAAGAGTTGCGCGCTTTCCCGTTGCGCCACTAAAACGTTTTTTTCTTTCTCCTGTAAACATTTTTTTTTTTTTTTATTGATGGTGAATTATTTAAAAACCATTAAAGTCACCCCAAACTATTTAACAAACTACAATGAAGCGCTTTATCGTTTATAAATTGGATGTTTTGTTTGACATTAAAAGTTTGTGACACTTGGTGCCATAAGTTTCATTTCGCTGTGTGTCAAAATGAATTTATGCAGGAATTGATGTAATTTTATCGAAGATATTGAAAACTATCTTAGCAAGATTTTGACTCCTCTTACCTGATAGCATTGTAAGAAATATTTTTACGAATTTGCATGAAATATTCCTGCCGATTGAGATGCATGCCTATCTTCAGATTTATAAAATCTGAAGAAAAAAAATACTCAGAAATAAAGCTCTCACTTTTGGCGATTCAGCAATCCTGGACTTGTATTTCGTTAATTTTGAGAATAATTTCCTCACGAAATCACGTGATTTGTGACGAAACGCGAACTCTCAAATATTTGGCGAAAATGATTCCTCGACTCAAAACCTCATTGTAGTGTGCATTGCGGGAGATTGATAACTGGAATGACGAAAATAAAATGAAGACATGGGGGTAGAAAATGAAGTGACGAAGTAAGCGGACTAGAATATATGGTTGTTAAGGTGTTGACCTCGTACCAGGACGATCCGGGGGTAGAATTCTGCACTTTGGACATGGTTGTAATTTATCTCTCTGTTCTATATGTCATTCTTGTGTTGCTGGGGCAACATTGATCCATCTATATGGTGCTCACGATAAAGTGATTTTTTGAAAAATTAGATACTTAAAACGCAACTAGTTTTTTTTCTTTTTTTTCGTAAAAATATTGAAATATTTCTTTATTCTGACGAAATTCGTTTCCTCTCAGAAGTGACGAAATAGCTATTACGTCTCTTGGCATATACCAGGAAACAGTTTCGTCAAAAACGAAGAAGAGAAGACGAAAGTCTGGCATCCATTTTTTTACAGTATGTGGGTATAATTCCTAGTAACCTGTTTAGTTGAAAGGGGTCAGCTTAAAAACTTAAATAAGAATAAATTTTGAAGGTGAAAAAAAGAACGATTTATGCAAAGAATCAATAGTTTTTGGTGATGACTTCTGACTGTGTTCTTTTATCTCGTGCTCCATGGACATGCCCGTAAGAACGAATACCGAGGTAGTGAGAAACATGTAAAAATATTCGAAAAAGACTAATATTGAATTTTGTGTGGTCAAAGCGAACTGTTTAAATGACAATTACCTGACATCGGAATTAAAAAGGGTTGTAATAAGAGAACGTCTGCAAAAAAACATATTATATAAGTCTCAAGACCGATGCTTGACCCCGAAAAATAATATGTCACTGCGATTTAATGGTTAAATATTCGCTACTAAATTAGTTTTGATCGATTCTATTCTATTTTAGTGGATTCTATTCAAATTCTTTTACAATTTAATCGATAATACTCGTCTGGATTTAAATCCATTACATCCGTCATGGTTTTGATTATATTCGAATAATTAGAAATTATTTAGTTTCTATTAAAAATGATATTTCTATTTTTATATGATTTAACAATGTTTGATGCGATGGAATTTAATATTTTATGATTTAATACTGTCGTATTAAACATTTAATGCCTAAGCTTTAATTCAGTAATCTTTGATTTATGGAATAAAAAAAATAGTATGTGGATTTAATTAAAATTTGTAAACTTATGAAAGAAGACTGGTCCATCTTATTATTTAAGTCACCATTAACTTGATTCTAACTAAACTACTGATGCTACTATTTGATACTAGCTGTATTCTATTTATTATTATTTTTTTAAACAATCATTATCAATCATCATATATGCTCGGAAATACCAATAACTGGATAAAAATTTCTCGTTTTAGGTCTGATACCCAAATAATTCGGAAGTAACATTTTATGAACCGTTGGCTCATCTTCTATGTTAATGATATGAAACAACGGCTCCAAAATTACCCGATCTATATAGAAGCCAAGTTGGAGAACTGGGTTTTAGCCAGAAATCGATCGATAGCTGGAAGACAGTACTCATTTTTATCAGTTATTTTCTTCTGTACGAAAGTCTTATATTAACTACACACTTTAATAAAACGCAAGAGATATTCTGCGATAGTTTATTTGGCCATTCTGTCTTCCAATTGAAAGATAACGAGCGCAGATAATCGTCTGCAGCTATCTGACAACTTTCAGCGAGATAACCTGAGCTTTCAGGGATGGTAGGAGAAAAGCAACTCAACCCGAAAATGCGGGCGGCAGAGTTTCAACACTAAGTTAGGGCTGTCTAAAAGAATAATAAATAAATAAAAAAAAGCTAGGCGCAATCATGTTGAAATCGATTGGGTGGCAAATTATCTCCGTGAACGAAAGAGAAAAATTGATTAAATTTGATGGAAGCTTTAGCAAGGATTTATTTTTATAGAGCTTGTAAACAGGATTGGTAAATTCCTTTCTCTCTTTATTCTCGATGCGTTAGTTGCGGAAGTTTTTAGATTAAAAACCGTTTGATTACATTATTCCATGCTATAAGTGACTCAAAAGCTGTAAATCGAATAAAAATGCTGAGCAAACATAAATTTTTGAAAAGTTAACGTAAAACTTGAACAACTTCTTATTTTCTCTAATCGTTTGAAACTTATGGTAAGTTCATATAAAACAAAGGAGGATTAATATTAAAATTATATGCATATACATAGAATAAATTATGAAAAGAGTATGCATTTATAAAAATTCCATAAGTATATTTCTTCGAGCTTTACAAATCTAAATGAAATAAATAAATTCAAGAATAAAGCTTTTCTGGTAAATATTCTCATCGTTTGTAACAGTTCTTTTTTAAAAAAAGAATAATAATAATAATTCAGCTTATACATCAGACAGGAAAAAATTCGTGATATTTATTTAATTGTATGCATTAAATAATTTCTAAATAACTAGTAGTATTTTTTTTAATTTTAATATTTCAAGCTTTTAATGAACTTTTTTTTTATATAATGCCGGGAGTTCCGCCTAAGAAGTTCGATCACTTAAGATTCTAAAGCTGAAACAATGTTGCGAATCAGTGATATTCCTATTTTCTCCGTATTTTAAGGGTCAGTAATTCAAATCCATCGAATAAAAAGAGACATAATTTTTCCGAGCAAGTGCGTTTCTGTATCTGATTTCGCAACTAT